CTTTCTTTCTTTCTTTCTTTCTTTCTTTCTTTCCTCCTTCCTTCCTTCTTTTTCCTTCTGTCTTTCATTTCCTCTACAAAATTTCTAGCATAGTAATCGTTAGGGATAATAGTTTCAGAACTGCAGTCGTTAATAGATAAGCTATTAAAGATAAATAAGTCGAATTAAAACAAAGCTACCGTATTCCTGTAGGTAATGTCAATAGAATATGATATTCTCTTGGTAATGTAGATGTAAAAAGACAATAAAGCTAAATAATTAAAATATGTAAGAAAGTGGTTGATACACAACGTAAACACAATCAATTTAATCGGCAAATGCTGGGTTCATTGCAATTGAAAAGTCCTTGAATTTTCTCTAAATGGTCAAATGGTGCAGTGGTTACACATTGACCGCGATTTGCTGTCAACCAGAAATAATTCTATAGAACTTAGGATTCAGCAGATGAAAATTCCGCACGAGACAGGAAATGACGTCAAATGAAACATAGGAATTAGATAACTTTTCCCAAACAAAGGGACGTGTTTGCAACGTTTGGCACTCGTTCCCATGGACCAAAAGGACATATTGGATTATTATAAAACAATAGAGCGAGGCCGTAACATAATAGTATTAGATTCGTTTTTTTGTCTGACACTTAAAGATCCTGTTGGTCCATGTGAATGGGTGCTAAGCGTTTGCAAGTTGGGTTAGATGAAATGAGTGTGCGACATCCCCTCTGAGAGGAAAACAAAGAATGTGCACGCAGGGCAGTGCACGGCACGGCACGTAAAAGGGCATTGCCATCTTTTAAGTCAATCACGGCACGCGAGATCAAAGAAAAATACTCGGACACGGCAAAGTATGCTCGGCACGTCCGCACCAAGAGCGTTCCACAGTCGCACGAAAAGCGACCAAGCTCAAACTATTGTCCTCTTACAATGTTTTCATTAAAATTGCTCACAGTAGTGCTAAAATTCGATACTAATAATCAAGAAGATACAAAAAGAAAGATAGACGGGGAAAGGATTTTAACGGGGAAAGGATTTTAGCTGGAAAAGCATTATATTGTATTTCAGGTATTGTTTTTTTCAAACATCGCTGGTGCAAAAGTCAAATCAAGTAGGAATCTATTGGTTGCGGCTATATCTTTAAAAGCTTATGTCTAGAGTGCTTAGGGTGCTAGAGTGCTTAGTGCCAAATTTCCTAACTCCTGATGTAATTTGATCCATAATCCCAATTCCTTTAATCCAGATTMTGAAATCCTTTTAGTACGGGTAATAATACTGGGTACCCTGTGTAATATTCAAATGACCAGAATGTAAACGTCACAGTAGGCTTACCATCGTAGCAACCATCATTGCTCATCTTTATTTTTACAGCTGTAAAAATGTTCTACTGGCCTTTTACTAGCCTCAGGTCTCCTTGTAGCTCTACCGAGGTAAAGGGTTTTATTGTCATTGACTCCGATTTCGATTTGAGGAGAAGATATTAATCCTGATCGCTTCTTTTTCAGGCACTCGAGTTGGAATCCAAAATGGCGGATCAAGTCATGTTCGCTAAACGTGTGCGAAAATCGCTGTACTATGGTGAATATTCTGATGCTTCGCTCCCTTCTTTATCAGTGACAGGTACGATGTTAATCATTTCACTTCGTATTATTGATTCTTGCAGTTTTTACTGACGATCGGCTGTATTTGTTATGTAAAGTATGCCAACATTATGAATAATAAGCCAGGAGTGTCTTGTGCTTTCCATATTAATTTTGGCACTACGATTGGATTCTTAGAAAAGTAACAAATGTTAAGATAAATATTAGTATCACATAAAAAGACATTTTTTATTTATTGCTACATTACTTAGCATGAGTTGTAGAAATATAATTATTGAATGAACGAAAAAAGCTCTCATTTGCATAATCGACTTTCATCTCCAACCACAGGGAGCCAAATTTAGATAAAACTAAATTGTGAAAATATAATCAGAAAAATCGAATAATTGATTTTTTTAATTCGAATTTAAGATAATGTCCTTTGTAATACAAAAGAGTAAAAAACAGATATAAGATGCACACTTTCAACCACAATTTCATCATCTTTTAAACCTCGAACTCCACAAAACTTGATCAAAATGATCCCTATGATGAAGGGTTTCATTTTTTAAAAACTGTTTTGGCTCTTCCTTGAAGACTTCTATGACCAAAATTTTTGAACAGAAAATTTTTTGCTTGCATAAAAACTTTCTGCCGTCTTATGTCAACGTTACTACTTGTGCAGGACTTGGGCAAGAACGAATTTCAAACTTGCTACCTCCTGCTCAGGAATTTTGTAATGTGTACACAATCCACCACCAGCCCCCCTAGTTTTGTTCTTGAAAAATCCTTTCACGAAGTTCTCCATGGTTGACATTTTTATGCTTTTTTGGTTGGTTTCACTTGAAAAATGAAAGATAACTACAGATCTAGGTTTATTGTAATACAATGTTTTATAACTTAAGGTGGCTGCCTACTTTTGAACGTTCGATTTGAGCCCACGATGTGCGCACGCTCAAAAACCGCTGAAAAATCTACAAGATTTTATTGAAGAACCATACACGTTTTGAGCTTCAACAGGGCAAAACCCTCAAATTTTGCACGGAACTCTATATTTTTTGATAGCTCATTTGAAAAAAACTACAAAAAATCTTGGTTATATCAACATTTTAGGAAAAGTTTAAATCAGGAACACGTGAAAAAATAGATTTTTGTAGGGATTTTTGTTCGACTTTATGAGATTTTTTAAGAGCACCAAAACTACAAAATATGACAAATCAATGTATCTCTCTGTCTTTTTGTTGAAAATTTCCATGTATTATTGTAGAAGGATTGACTAGCCTTCGTTCGTGCAATCATATAGTCTGCAAATAACTATTATCTTATGAATCTTAATTTTTTTCTTATCACTTCCGGTGGCGCAATTTTTACTCCAAAAGCTCGTGTGTAGGCTTCCATTAAATGCCGATTATCTCAAAAACAAGCTCGGGACACCCTATTTTTCTTTCCAGATTTGGAATCAGCATTAAATTTCAATTTGGAAAATTGAAGTTTTAAAAAAAGCTTAAATCAATTTCCAAAAGTAGGCAGTCACCTTAAGCTAAAAGCATTCCATAAACATAATTTTTGTGGATATAAAGTTAATTTTGTCTAAGGACTCCACATATGTAAAAAACATCGTTTTCCCTCACTGCTATTGATACATTGCTTTAACCTTAGATGTTGCAGTTGAAGTTCTTAATAACACGGTGCCTTCAAGAAAACGACTCCTTGATAGGAAATATGCTCATTCTGTTGCAAGGTAATAAGATCACTTGGAAACCTCTACACAAATTGTTAAGCCCCTGTAAAAGCAATTATTTTGATTATTTTGTATGATTTCATGATATACGTGTAAGAGCAGAAAGTCCTTCTCATTAACATTATACTGACAACTGCCTAGTATACTATCTAGAAGATTTTTGAGTTTTTGAGTTTTATTCAGTCTGATAAAGCAGTCGAAAGTACTTCAAAGGATTTTAAAAATACAGGCAGGCATTAGTTAAACTCATYATTATTATTATTCTTATTCTTATGAAGAAGATGACTATGATGTTTTTATTCCAGGAGAGCAAAAATATCTCCTTGTACATTGATGATGGGTATGTTGTATGCTGAACGTCTTCGTCAAAGAAACCCCCAAAATACAATGACACTCAACTCCTCAGATGTCTTTTTGATATCTATTGTAAGTTCAGTACATATATATAGAGGTTATTATGCTGCGGGTTGTGTATTACAGTTGGCTAATTTTACCAGTGAAAGCTGTCATACTTTTTCTGCCCCACATTTCATTGTGAATCAAAATTGAAAGTTTTTTTAAGCTCTTAAATGGAATCAGAAGAGGTTTTTATTACCTAAGAATTCTTACCATATTCTGATTTCATGGTTATTGTTCTTATGAGAATGGAACCTTCTCGAAATTATCTTAAATGTGGGGCTAACAGGAAAAATACAAATGGAATAAGACTTTCCTCTTGGTGGAATTGGTGGCATTTCTTTCATATTGCCATGTTAGTCTCACATAGATGATCATTTTGAAAAAGAGTAGATGACGACTAGTTTGGGAACTAGTTTGGACTGCATTGGTGTTTTTAGTTGAATCAAATGTGTCGTAGTAGATAATTTTATCACCGTAGGTGCGAAAGATAGTAGACTGACGTTTCGGACGTTAGTCCTTCGTCGGAGTCAATGAGAAAGGTCATTTACCCAAGAATTGTGGTCATATTTAGCAAATATACAACTTATGCTCATTTAGAGCACAAACATTCGTGATTTCAACTTCCCTTAGTTACTATTTCTATGATCTACAAACTTAAGATTAAAGCTGAATATCTCAGAATTAGAAACTCTGATCAAGAATATTATTATATTTTTTGTCTAAATTTTACCTCCCACACTGACTGGTTTACTATTGCCTGAGTTTGGGAACATTTAAATGATTCTGTCTGTTTTTCTGCATCTGTAATTGCCCTAATTCACTATGACGTCACTGCTTGTTTAAGTGGGGGATAGATTTGCCAAATCCAATAGAAAATTCAACAAAATTTGCTCCTAGCGAAACATTTTAATCTAAAATGGCCTGGTTTTCAGATATAATATGTGTTAATATGTACGAAAAAATATTCGTACATTGTGGATTGATATGGATTTTAGAGCAATTTTCGGTGAATTTGCGTTGATTTGACCCCCTCCGACGACCATGATCCTTTGTGTTTAAACAATAGATTGTTTTGATGTGACGTTATAGTGAATTAGGGCAATTCTGTTGCTGAATGTATTGTGAAACAGCCTTTATAAGTAAGTAAGTAAGTAAGTGAATAAATAAATAAGCTTTCATAAATTCAAACGTTCTAGATGGTTGCATCCAAGTATTTGTATGACGAGGGGGAAGAAGAAGAGGTTTACAATGAAGACTGGGCAAGAGCAGGTAAAATTAAATAATAGAATATATGGCTTCCATAATGACCTCCATTGAAAAGGGTTATGAAATGGTCCAAATTCTCCTAGGCATAATGTTTTGTTTTATTTTATTTCAGACCATGTGTCATTCCTGAGAGCATCATTTCTTTGTTAAAAGTTGAATATGGATACAACTCAAAAAAAGAATCTTATTCTCAGGAATGGGAAACCATTAGGCCCAAACATTTAGTAAAATAGGCTGGCACAAAATAAAGACTTATATAAAGACTGCCATGAACTAAATTGCAATCAGCTTAATGCACCTTATGTCATTCTCAGTCATAAAATATAAGTCGGAATATTTGAAATTGTTGTTGTATGTTGTTAATTGATGTGTTGATCATTCCAAACAGGATGTAAGACAGTACAAGACATCAACAAACTGGAAATGGACTTTCTTCAGTTAATGGTAAGATTGCTACTCCATTCTCTGATGTTTTTCATTATTTTTTTTGCCCTGTCCTTCCTATGATCCATCCATTTTCTATATCCACCTTTCTTTGCTTTCTTTTTCTTCATTATTCTTCATCAAACTAACATACCCCTTCAGAGTTAACTGAAATTACCAAGTGCCCAAGTTCAAGGGATTAAAAATAATGTTATTGTTCAAGTTTTTTTACTAGTGAGCTCCATCAATGAGCTTTTGTTATTTACTAGGGCAAACTAAAGAATATACATACAGTACATTGGTGTCTAAATCATTAAACCAACTTGACCAGTTTCAAATCCCAAATAATATTACTGTTGTGTTCCTTGATTACAGACTCATTTATACGGGGTTTGTCTTGTATCATTGTTTAAATATTCACAAATACCAACGGTAAAGTAAAGAATGCACAACTTCTGTATAAACACTTTGAAACTTGACAGAACTTGACTGAAACACCTGAATATTCTTCACAAAATCAAGGTTAACCCTGAGCAAATGATCCCAGTAAATTGGAACTCGAAACTGATATATTTTGGAAATWTTTTTTTTTGTAGAAAAACGTTATGTTTGTAGCTTTTAGAGCTGTTGATAATAGAATGGTATTTGATCTTGTTTTATTAGGACTGGAATTTGTTCATTAGCAAGGGCGAATTTTTGAACTTTGTCAGCCAAGTGGAGTCAAAGTAAGTGTATCAATTTCTCCTTCCTAAAGCTAAAAAAGTGATAATTGAGATTGTATAATACACAATAATTACAAAAAGATATCCCAAAATCTATGGTTTGAAGAAAATGAAGTTAAATAAATTATCATTGATTAAGACCATGCTTTTGATTTAATTTTTGTTTTTGTTTTTGTTTTCTAGGGTGGCCTTGAATAAAGGCTGTGCTCGAGGCTGGTTAACATACTCTGACATGTGCACTTTACTCAACAATAAAGCATTACTGGACTTGCTCCAAGTTATTCGACAACAGTTGCTAACGGTAAATTCAACTTTCTTTTTTAAATCCAGTATTATTTAAATTTGATTGTGGTGGTTCAAGTGTTGTCTATGTTTTCTGACTAAGCATTTTCTTCAATAGAATATATCAAAGTGTCTGACGGCATATTTATTTGGAGTCTCCCTTCTTCTTGGTTCATCTGCCCTTGCCTCTCTAACACACAATTCATCCAAACAAGACACGATATTCCATGGCACTCCAGTCCAACCCTCCTTCAACTGCCTCACTACAGAAGCATCCTGTGTCTTCTCTCGCGAGGGCATTGAGGTTGCCTCACCAGGTTTAGACCTGGTCTTTCGTCCCATCACTCAAAGAAGAAAACGTGTTCCAGGATCATTCCTTCAACGTCAGGGATTCCAAAATATGGCCTCTTCAAGAGAACAGAAAATGGATGCACGAGAAGTAAATCAATCTCCATCAGAAAACCATACTTTTCCTAGATCAATTGATATCAGCGTTCTTTTTAAAACATTAGGGAATTTTACATCTCAGAACCTTAACCTTAAGACAAGACTAGTAACTCATGGCCGCTACTCGAATGGCACAGACAGAGAGTTGTCAGTACAATCTTGGTCATCACTCTGTGTCCACAAAATGAATGTTGGTTTATTCGGACCACAGATTGTCAAAAAAAGGTGTTTTGAGAAATTTCCAAAAAGTTCTGTGTCTTCAACAGAATGGAACTGCTATTACAGGCAGCAATTGTGTGTATCATGATGGCTGAAATACTGTTTCTGACCCCCCCTCCCCTCCATCCCACCCCTACATCCCATCTCCATACCATCTCCATTTAGACTCTATGAAAAACCTTTCAATTTAAAGTATTTTGATAACATATTTTATGATGATGAATAAAGTTTTCCTATCTCACTCAGTCAGATTTTATGTCTTTGTTTTGTTATCGCAGTCTTTGTTGCCGGATATCAAAAGGATAAAAAAATTCCAAATTTCTCATATAGCTGCAAGTGAATTCCCCAACTAAATTCATATCACTAGACCCTTAAAAACATTTTAAACTTTTAAGTCAGAGGCAACTATTTTACAAAAAATGTATAGGCCATGAATTATAACTTGCCAACACATGCGAGTAGAGTTTGTCTAGTACCCTAACTGCAAATGCACCACTGAGCACTGAAATTCCCTTATGGGGTCCTCCCCTATCTTAACCTGAGTATCAGGCCTAGGGGGGTCTAAGACAGCCTGATACTCAGGTTACCCCTATTTTGTCAAGTCTTTTGAGCTCTCATGGTATACTGTCCTCCAGACTTGTTGTCTAATGTGTTTTACTAAAATTGGGCTAGCTCCACTATGACCTGGTCTTGTTCTTGTATCTTGGTCATAGTTTCATGTAAGTTGCATGTTTGTGCTCAGTTTATGTGAGCTTTGCACCCCCTAGGAACCAGTTAGTACAGGGAGGTGGGTGGGTTTTGGGAGTGAAATTTTTAATTTTTACTGGTCCATGCATCTATGAGTTGAATGTCAGTGGCTTACTCCATAAACGTTTTTGTGAAATGGCAGTTTCAAGTAACTCTATCTAGTGCTCATAACTTTGTCTTTCTATCCTTTTTGAAASTTGGGGTCCACTTTCAACCCATCACCATTCTTAATGATCACATCTCGGGTCAGGATAGAGAATTCCTGTGAGCACAGGGTCGACGGAGCAGTTTTTTGATTGGGGGGGCTCTATAGTGACATTGTATGGCAAGGGGGGGCTGAGTTTAGTGAAAATGTATTAAAATTTCACAAAAAGTCCCCCCGGTTCTGCCGTCCCTGGAGCATATGTTTTGGTTTACTACTCTGCATAACCCATTGGAGCATTAATAAACCTAACTACTCTTCAAGCAGGAAGCCCTAGACAACCTTACAAGTAATTAGTAGTCCATCAAAACTACTTCCAAATCTTCTGTAAAGAAAGTAGGCTACCTTTCCTTTTTCCTTTTCCTTAAATATCGGCTTGATTCAAAACAACTTGCTAGACGTTTTTTATCCAGTCCCGCTTCCTTTTTGTCCATTCAATTTTTACGCATCACAGACTCATAAATTTTCATTGTTACCAACTCGCCGCGCCACAGCTCGTCCTTCGATACCATATTCGATCAAGCGTTAATGGTAGTTGTTAGTAACGGTAGAAAAACCTACAGATCAAGGTCTTTAAAATACCACAATGGAAAAGGAAAACATGCAGAGGTAGTACTAATAACCTATTAACACACTTTTTGCAGAATTTATAAAGCAATTAATTTTGAGAGGAATATTTTTACAAGTTTTAGTCTACGACGACAGTACTGTCAGAGCCGCGAATAGACAACTAAAAACTTGACAATATATCGTAAAATAAGGTTAATGATAAAGTTAATCAGTCTTTTTAACCCAAATCAAGTTAACGAAAAAAACCTTGTGTGTTTGTAGATTGAAAATTATCTATTTTTTTTTTCTTTGTGAATATTTCGAAGCTTTTCTAGGACTTTGTTGACTGAAGTTACTGGTATTGTTTACGTCTGTAAACACCTAAGCTTGATAACCTCAGGCATAAAGCGATTTTTTTCTTTTCGCACATTGACTTATAAAGCACTATGTTATTCAAGCAATAATGGTAACATAAAGATTTCACATTGATTTGTTCTTGAAAAGCAAGGAATTTTGATTAAAACCTTTCGGATCTATCAGACATTGAACTGTTTGTCACTGAGCTGCCTGACTTAAAAGTCACTAAAGGTTTCTTTGATTTGATTTAGCATTCCAGTTTGGTCGCGATACCATCCTGTGATACCCCAGAGATATGTACCCGCCTGGACTCAAGACATGGAAAACAGAACTCTAATCCTTGAGGTGAGAGAGCCCTTCATATTAATAGGGACTGTTCATTTATTATCTGGGAGGCTATGGGTTCAGATAGGATTTGCAAATGGTCTTTGTGTTTGCATAAAAAATGGCATCACCTTTGTTTTTCATTTGCTGTATTGCAAAAGTGGTGTGCTTTCATTGTGTGGCCCCCACTCTTGATCCTGATTTGTTTAATAACCCTCCAATTCCCACTGGTCCCCAATTCCTGGTTAAAAAAATGAAGTCCCTTGTTGCACAGAGATCTGAGCAGCATCACATGGCATAGAGAAAGATTTTTCCATTTTACAAAGTTTATCAGCTTCCATCACATCATTAATATCATTATTAATGCAATAGAATTTTTTCCATTTGCTAGAACACCAACGCGACAAAGTATCCTTGTGGGCCTCATGATACAAGTATCTATTTATGTCGCAGAGGTAAGAGGAGCTATAACCTGAGTTATTGGATGCCTGGTTGGATTTGTTGGATGTGTGGAGTGTTGTGGGTCTAGGCCCTGCATGGAATTAAAAACACTCAGGTCTTCAGATAATGGTGAAGGCTGAGTGCAATTACCTTTACTTGCTATGAAAGAATTTAGGCTTGGGCTAATGGGGGAGTCAAGATGATGTGGTGGTAAAACGCTCGCCTCACCTCTGAGGCCCGGGGTTTGAATCCCAGTCACCCCTAGGTGAGCTGAGTTGGTTGGTTCTCTTTCTGACTCCGAGGGTTTTTCCGGTCCACTTGTTTTTCCTCCCTCCTCTCAAATCAACCCTAACTAATTCAAACTGGTTAGAGCTGTGGTGAGGGGTCATACATGGACTGTATAGTGGCTGCCAGAGGCACCTCCATATGCTTTCATTTCGACCTCATTGAGCTGCGGCACTGCTGTACTGGCGGTGGTGATTAGCAATGACAAGTTTTTTTTTGTTTTTTGTTTTATGCCAAAGAGTCCAAGGAATGAAAGCATTACATGCATAGGTACTCAGAGACTCGCCTTTCATTGTAGTTGTTTCAAGTTCAAATTATTTCTTGTGTCACCTGACTGAAACATTATGAGTTGTTTTTCTTCCTTGCTTTGACGGTTTTTCTCTACACATCCTAGGTTTTCCTCCCTCTGCAAAGAAAAAATAATAAGAAATAAAATAAAAATCAAAACAAAAACAAACAAACAAACAAAAAAACAACAAACAAACAAAACAAAACAAAACAAACAAAACAAACAAACAAACAAAAAACAACACAAAAGTTTTTAAAAATCTTGGCTGTGTTCCTAGACATTAGTTATGTAATGGTGACAGCCTAGCGCATCTCATTACAAGCCTCCATCTTGACCTCTTTAAGTTGCTATATTTTTTTACAATCGGTACAAATTCCAATTTTATTGATTAGCGATTTATTTTAGGTCATCTTATGGACTATGTTTTATTTGCACATTCTGCTGCTACATTGTTGGTGGTATATATTTAATGATAGATTTCTCATTAGCCTCTTTTATCAAAACCACCAACACAGCCATCAAGTCTTAGTCTTTAGAGTCTTTTCGTATGGAATGATTGCAAGCCATATATATCAGTTTTGTTGCAGCTGCTTGTTTCCCTTTATTAAATATATATGTATATTATTAATAGATCATATATTATCATTAATAGAGCGATTGAACAATGTGGAGCCATCAGCTATGGTCAACAGCAAGTCCATAAAGGTCCCACGAGAAAGACTTTTACGACCGTGGTTTCACTCTCCACTTTCAAGATTCCAGAGTAGTTTGATGTTTAGAAAGGCTTAGTTGTGTGTGAGGGACAGTATACATTAGCAAGGAGAGGAATGGTTTGGGGATGGGCCATTGATTTCACTTTCAAGATTCCAGAGTAGTTTGATGTTTAAAAAGGATTAGCAGTTAGTGAAAAAATCAAGACATGCAGTAGCAAAAGGGAGGGGGGAGAGGCTACATTTATTTTAATTAAGTCGAATTTTTTCTGAGTCTTTCAATTTGCAGCTGCATTAGTTGCTTCATATACTGCGAGGATCAACTCAATTTAATACATTACAACCGCATTACAAATATTGATTTCATATATATTCTCTCATAACAACAACAAAACGTTCCAAACCTAACATTTGGTTTACAATTCAGATTCATTGCAAAGCTTCATGGAGATTATGAGCTTATTCAAAGATGTAATTGTGACCAATAAAAACTACTTTAGTGTGTGTTTGCATGATCATGATTTTTGGGATTTTGAAAACCCCAGGACTAAAAATTTTTGGCCAATCCAAAAACAAACTATAGATTTGTTGAATTAAAATTTTATTGACATTCAATTTTTGTTAAAGTAAACCTTCAAAAACAGTCATTAAATAGCAATTCTTTCCCCCCATATTTTGTGTTAGTAACTTGAGTAATTCTTATCTCTACACAAGACAGAGCCTATTTCTATTAACACATTTTAGTTGAACTAGTCCGAGGAATTGAAATACGTCAAAAAAATTCGATTTTGATTTTTTTATTGCGTTTTTTTGAAAGTACTTACAACCATTGTCATAATTAGTTGGCACCGGCTTGACAGATTTCAGTATTTTAGAGGGTACTTCGCAAAACACTACCTAGGGCTAAACCCCCTTCCTCCGTACAATGTTGGGATTCCTGCAAGTTGGCAGAGGGTTGGTGAGTGGTCTGATCAGGGGTACCAACCTTCTTTCAGGGAACGGCAACATTGTACAGGGGGAGGGGTTTAGCACGACAGAGGAAAGCCATTTTCTGTGTTAGCCAAAATGTGCCATCGTGCCAAGTATTTTGGCAATAATTGTAGTTAACAACCAATTTTAGAGGGAAAATATGTTTAAAATCTGACTATGGGATCAAATTGAAATTACGTATTTTGTGCATTAAGTTGGAATAGAAATTCCGTGAACGGGTTATCTCTACAAGTCTACACGGGAAGCCCAATAACATTTAACATCATCTGATTTTTAGCACAAATTTTGATAAAACTATTTAATTGGTAATTTTGTGTGCAGACCTTTTTAGTGTCGGCTCGTTCACTAAAAACGTCTGCACAGCAGGCCACATTTTATAGAGTTCTGTGATAAATGGGGAAAATCAATTTATTTATTTTCTCATTAAAATATGGCCTATTTTTGACAATTTTCCATGTTTTTGGCGTCCGCACGTTTTTACCATAAAAAAGGTCCAACTTCCAGCACTGACAGCTAAACGAAGTCCGTGACCCCCATTTTTATTTGCTTACTAAGTATTTTACCCTAGTATCGATCAATATTAGATCGTATAGATTTCACTAAATAAACGTCTTTGAATAATTCGAAATTATGTTCAAATATTGATCGTATACGTTCCATTTGCGCGTGCACATTATCACTTCAGGATATACTAATAATCAATAAGATAATGGGAAAAGAATAAATAGTCAGAAAAAAACATAGATGGGAAAAGGRTAAATCATAAAACATAGGTGGAAAACAAGACGAAATATGGTAGTTTAAGCATGCTGTTTAATTTATTATGCATCCAAAATTACCAATCGTATATACTGCGGTTTGCCAAAGATCTTTAGAAGTACCGCCTGTTTTTTAAGGTAAAGTATACTAAAAACATTTCAACTCAGTGGTATTCTTCACGTTCATTATCCATTTAACATG